GGTCATCCTTAGCAGCTATGACTCGTTCGGCGTTCTTTGCCTCTTGTTTGTATTCCAAAAAATGTTCAATTATGGCCCCCACCTGCTGGCTGGCCTGAAAAAGGAGGAATATTAGGGAACAACCAAAAGGATGCGGAGAATACTCGGAAAAGAGTTAAACTTACCATCAGGTTGCTTTGGATAATGCTCATCAGAAGCTGATTGTCTGAGTAACCTTTGTACACGGCCATTTCTGCGTCAAATTGAAGCGTCCCCACAACGGTAAACACCACTTCGGGGGATTGAAGGATAGAGTCGGCTTCCAAAATAGGGCGCCCGCTCCTGGTCTCGGCCCGACCAACCCACTCGCCCGAGACAGACGGGCCTGGGGTCGGGGAGTCATGCCGCCGCTTCACACGGCGTTCCTCAGATTATTCGACGTCCCGGGCACGCTTTTCCTTCAGCTGGTCTGCCAGAGCGGAGGACTTGTTGAGATTGGGGCCTTTGCCTTGTTGGCACAGCCCGGTCCCTGGCTTGTTGCGTGCGCGGCGGGGGCGGTTGCTTCCGAGGAGAACTAGGTGGGGGGATGATGGGGGTAGTGTTGGAAAATCTGCCTAACTCGGCAAGCCTGCCTAACTCGGCAAGCCTGACTCTCTTTGCCGCGACGATGACTTCCATTGTAGCAACGATGATTGGTGGCGGATTAAACATCTTGGGCGCAAGTGGCTCGGGAACGTGATCAGACTCTTCTTCAGAATCTCCCTTGGATTCTTCCTCTTCCACCGAGGAATGGTCTTCCCAAACAGAAGGGTTGAAAGGAGGTGGGATTTGGGAGAATCGACTGTAAGTCGGCACGTAGCCGAGAAGAGTATGTGCCGCTTGCTCAACTGGGTCCAAGGATCAAACCCTTAGCAAGTCGGCAAACCGGACTTGGGACCTCAAAGGTTGAGCAGCGTCCCAGCGATACCCTTCTGCAAAAGCAAAGCAAAATCAATGCGTCCCTCGAACCTAAGAATAACAAAATTAAGAAGTCAGAAGGAAAACACACCTTCATCCCTTGGCACTTTGGAGCAATACAATCTGTCATACTCGAGCCTTGTCCCTTTCTCCTAACTTTTGCCGAGCATGATCAGGTCGTCTACATACCCCTTGTCCGAGTCGGGTATGTGGATTACCAGATACATTGAGGCGTCCCAAGCCTGGAGGTAATATCGCCCCCCGGTAATTAGCCTCAGGTCGTAGCAGAATAAAATTTTATCTACTCCTAAGTTGGTTCCCAGCTGAGTGTTTAGGGCGACTATGTCCATCACAATCCTAAAGAAGTTAACCCCACATTAAAGGAGAAAGAGCTTCAGTTGCATCAACACTCCCACCAACAGGGGATGAAGGGGGAAGGTTAGTCCACCCTCCATGATGGCCTTCGTCCAAAAAGGCATCATGTCCACATTTCTCATATCCCTCCTGTGGTGAGTGGGGTTAAAGGGAAAAACGAAGACAGGCTTACGGGTGTGGTACCTAACCCTAAAGGCTTGGATATTCTCATCAATCACTTGGATTCTCCTCATCTTGTGGGTAGTCCTAGCCCTGACAGACATCTCCCCCCTGGTTCTACTAGTTCTAGCCATTGGTGGGCGCTAAGAGGGCGAAATATAGAGGAAATGAAGAGAGAAAAAACTCGAGTGAAAGTACTTACAGGAAGGGGGTCTTCAAAGAGAGAGCTCGGAGGATGAAGAGAACTCGGAGGAGAACAGAGGAGCACTCGGGGTCTGATTGCTAAAGAGAGGTTGAGGATGCAAAAGTTCTGAGAAGGTATGAAAACCTCCTATTTATATTGCCTCACAGGGAGCGGGAATCGAAAAATGGGATCATCATTAGGGCATTTGAAAAGGGCAACCAGACGTGCAAGTAACCGTCGCTATTAATAAGGCGTGATGGAGCCTCCAATCTCTTTACGTCACTTGTCTTGTACTGCGTAAATGATGGCGGCTGGGGGGCAGTTAGCGGGACTCTAGGTTGCTCTGCGGCCCCCGGGTTGACAAGTGGAATAATGAAGCCGTTGGGATATCAAAAGGGTGCCGAGGAGGTTAGCCGAGGTGTGGTGACATGGAGCAGCCGAGTATTACAGTTGGCATCGTATTTAATGCGATGTAACCCCTCAGTTATGGTGAACTGAGTGATAGTGACAAGACAAATAAATGCGCGTCTGCCAGCACTTGCTCTTTGGGAGTCTAAGGCTACTGTCATAATGGCTAAGCATTAATGGTTGATGCGTTGAGACGACGCGATTGACTTTCCCGAGGAACTGTTTCTCCCGAGTATTCAATGCTCAGATAATGTCGGATACGGATTTGGGGGATTTGGGTACTCGACGAATGGCATAAATGCTCGGTATTTGGCCGAACATTTACCCCATTTTCTTAGCATTCAATAGGAGGAGACGTGAGCAGAAAACACTCATTACATGAGGAATGGTGTGTCAGATGTGAGATGTCCAGATGAGACTGTAGATCTTTGACAATCATTGCTAATTCAGGTATAAATACTCCTCACAAAAATGGACAAAGGTACGCAAATTCGAACCAGAAAAATAGTCTATTGAGCAAAATCCTTCGACCTTATACTGATTTAAGCTTTAGAGGGGATTAGCCAGGCACTCGCCTGACCCATTTTTTCCTGACCCTGTTGTTTCAGGTTCACCAGTTTGGAGATCGCTATCTTATATTATTACAGGAGTTATCTCGTGCACCTACAATTAATTTTTGTTGTTATCCAAGCAGGCGTTATACTTATCTTTTTGTGCAAGGAACTATTTACACGTATCCATCCATTGTAAATCCTTCGTTTGATTAATACAATTACAGTTTACTTTCTGAAGAAAAAAAAAAAACATGAACACAACCCTAAAGCCTAAGGAAGAACAAGAAAAATTCAATGACAAGATACTATTATTCATTCCAATAAATCATTTGTTGTACATAAGGAGAATATATAATGAAAAGTCTAATCGTTCTTAGAATAGTGTACATCCCTAATTTTACAAAAGTTATCAAAAATATCAAATTTGAATCTAACAAATTAAGATAAAAGTACAGCTAATCTAGAGTCGAGGAATTCTGAGAAACTTCGAAAAAATTCTGATCATAGTTGTTTTCAATGAGTTATTATTAGGCACCTAAATCTTTTTTAAAAACTATAAAAAACGCTAATTTGAGGGTCTAAATGATTGAATTTGGCCTAAAAATGGAGGAGCTCAGAGCATATCAATGATTCTTTTTCATTGGTCCGATCCAAATCAAATGCCATTGGTCACGCTTTAATCTGAGCTCGACACATATTTACTTTACTAATACTTTGCCACGTTTCATTGCGCTTTGAATGTGCAAGAGCCTTCACGTTTTAAGTAATCTACTACAACTTGTTCTATATTATTTTTTCTTAAGGCAATTTTTTTTTTTTTTGGGGAAGTAAAGGTTCCATTGAGCAAATGAAGCTCCAAAAAAAAAAAAAAAATCACATGAGCTAAAGAAGCTCAATAGAACAACAAAAAAAAAAAAATCCAGTTCCATCTCCACCCCCAGAATTGAAGGGAAGTACAGGCCATGAGCCAATACTTCCCTTAGAATTCCAATGGCTTTTAGAGCAGTGGGAAAAGGATGACCAAATGTCAAAAAAAAAAAAAAAAAAAAAACTACTCAAGGCACGAGGAGGGAAGATTCTAGTTGCACACAAGTTACATATTCTGAATGGAGTTCTTGACCTTCACAACAGTGAGCCTCTCCCTTATGGAAGTTTGAAATCTGTGGAGTGTACATTTCTCCTCAGTAAATTGATCGCGAAAAATCCTATTGTTTCTTCCCCTCCAAATGCTATAAACAGCTGTAGCAAGGCAGAGTTTCAGGATACCTTCTTAAGGCAATTTTGTCCCCACCAATCCAAAAAAATCAATCTTTACTAGTTCACATCAAATTCTTACCTGCTAAGTGCATCTCTTTGAATAGATCAAGGTGTCATTATATCCCATTTGTATTCTTTGGCAAGGTAAAACAAGGAGGAAGGGTAAACGGGTTTGACTAATGTACAAAAGAGCTTGCTTTCAATATTATACCACTCCGAGCTAGTTATCATGTGATTATCCTACACTTATAAAGTGTTCTTTCTTTATAATTTCTCTTTATTATTTTCGCGATTAACGGTCACAAATAAATCAAATTAAGATATGTCTACCAAAATGATGTTTAGTATACTATTAGAAAGTAAGTATTTGAGACACAGAAATATTAGCCGATGTTGAATTTTCACCGAGATATCCGAAACTCCATTTCAGGTGGCTTATGAAGTGACAATAATTTGGTACAGTTGAGGGAATTCGTAGCTTCTTTCGTTCTGTGGACGATACATCCCTTTTCTGTTTGTTTACTTTTAGCTTTTTCATGGTTATAGCTATGTAATGGACAATACATATTATACAATACTTACAATAATTCACGTGCAAGACACGTATATATTAACTTGTATCTAAAAAAATTCGGTATAAAAACTTTACCATCCACACTACTTTAGTGTAAAAAAATTGATAGAAAATTTAGGATTATTCGTCGTCAAATGCCCTTGATGTGCAATAAACACGCACACATCAGATTTATAAAACACAAAATGACAACCACTAGCTCACTAAGTGGAATCTGAATCAGACGTCAGCAAATTGGTAGGTCTAAAGAAATTCAGTAAACTATTCAGTTGGACAATACACAAGTGAAAAGCACCTTTACTCAAAAGAGTTCTTCTGCATCGTCGTCATATACTTATTATCAAATTCTTATCAGTCACATTAGCAAACTCCAGAATTACAAGTTAAAAAAAAAAGGCAAAAAGGGCACAAAACATAAAAATTAGAAGTACAAAAAAAAAAAAAAACTCTCTTCCTCTCTTTTCGTGGCCAACCTGCACCCACTTAGTTTTCTCTCTCTCTCTCTCTTTCTTTCTTTCTGAGTTTCTTTATTTTTTTTTGGCTCTCAACTGTTTCAGACTTTTGGAGCTTCTATAGCTATCATGGGGGGTTGTGGAATTGGAGCACTAATAGCAACAGCAAGGACAGAGACCTTGTTCGCTTGGTTTTTCTGCATCTCAATGTCATTTTCTTCAACATCTTCAATCACCATTACAGCTCGGTTGTTTCCGGTACTGTCCTTTATTGGTTCAGGAATCATCTCAGCTTCCTTCTCTTTGTATTCCTTGTACTTGCCCCATAAGACAGAGTAAAGTCCGGCAACGATTAGTACAGCACCGAGAACACTGAAACCACAAGGAAAGAAAAAGATCATTTGATGAGCAAAGGAATGATTTTGATAGAAAAGAAAAAAGAATAGTGGCTTTCTATTTTCTATCTTTTGTTCCTTATGAATATTCGCGTTTGTATGCAGTTGTCATTCAAAAAATTTACTTTTCGAACACTAAGAATAAAAGTAGAAGTTTGTTTCTTTCAAGTAATAATATGAGTACAAGAGAGCGCCCAAGTTTTTCGTTAAGAGTCAGGTATGTGTAGTCTTATCTTCTTATCTAAATGTGTACGGAAATTTGAGAATTTCTTGCAAAACAATCGTTAGAAAGGAGGAATATCCAATCATCTTTTGTGAGCTTTTTATTAAGATTGATTATTGGTTATCATGTTGAGAAAATTGGCAATGAGAAAATACCCTCCAACATAGATCTTTTCAGCAAGGATGAAAGAGCCCATGATCGCCACGATGATCATCATCAAAGGACTAAAAGCAGTCACAAAAACTGGCCCTCTTTTCTGCATTACCAAACCTTGGACATAATATGCAATGCTTGATGACACTATACCCTGTGAATGAAAAGCAAATAGTCTTAATATCACTTTCATAATATATATACACACAGAGAGAGAGAGAGAGAGAGAGAGAGAGAAACAGCGTAGGCAGCAGCTAGAAGGTTCATGTCCCACCCAATGGTCCAAGCAGAGGGCTTGTGTTCCATCACAAAGGTGACGGCAATGGATTGCAGAGTACCCATAAAGCACACAAGAGCTGTGAGTGAGAGGTGAGCTGGGTATCTTTTCATGGTAATAGCCTGTGGTACAAGTCAAAACTCAATATTATTCAATCCTAAATACCCAAATAAAAAGAAAATAATCTGCTGAAAATTATTAATAAAAAATAGAAATTGTGATTTATATAAGTTCAAGGTTCAAGTTTACCTGAAGGATGAAGAATGAAGCCCAGGCAAAGGTGGCAATGATGAGGAGAATCGAGCCTTTCAACCAGTCCTTGTCAGTGGCTCCAGCGGTGTCAGGAACATAGGATTTACGAGGATGGATATGCTCGGACCAGACCATATTAAGGACGTTGCCCTTGTATAGTGTCATCAACATGGCTCCAGCCACTGTCACTACAGTTCCCACCACCTTTGCTTGGCACCTTACCTTCTTCATGTCAAGCTTCTCCATCCTTTTTGTCCACCAACAAACGTCACATAACTTGTTAGTCTAGGCGGGTTTGGAGTCGAAAAGTAACTTTTTAATTATATTAAATATGGTACGTGTGAAAAAATTATATTTTATTAATTTACTTTATTTCGTTAGTTTGAAGATTAATTGTTACAAATATATCAATTTAATATTTACATGTAGAAAACATTTTTGCTTTGCTTCCCAAAAATTGTTTTTCAGAACCATAGCCTTATCCCTGTCTTAGAGAGAGTGAGTAGTGAGAGAGAGAAAGAGAGAGACTGATGAATCAAGATACCTGCAGAGGACGGCCATAACAAATGTCATTGCTGGGAGCATGTTGCTCATGGCACAGGAGAAAGTGGGAGAANGTGTGTGTGTGTGTGAGAGAGAGAGACTGATGAATCAAGATACCTGCAGAGGACGGCCATAACAAATGTCATTNGAGAGAGAGAAAGAGAGAGACTGATGAATCAAGATACCTGCAGAGGACGGCCATAACAAATGTCATTGCTGGGAGCATGTTGCTCATGGCACAGGAGAAAGTGGGAGAAGTGAATTTTAACCCCGCATAATAAAAGTTTTGATCAATCACNTTGCTGGGAGCATGTTGCTCATGGCACAGGAGAAAGTGGGAGAAGTGAATTTTAACCCCGCATAATAAAAGTTTTGATCAATCACTGGCCTGTAAATCCCAAAAAATATGGTGAAAGTTTAGTTTTTTTTGTTCCTGTTTAATGTCAGAAACTTCTACGAAATGCTGCATGGTAGGCTGCAAAGCAAAAGACTCACCCAAGAAGACCCAATACGAAAATCTGCATGAATATTGGAAATGTAATCTTTGGCCTCACTTTCCTATGAGGAATCAAAAATAAACATGTTAGTTCACATGATAATTGCACCTTATTCCTTTACAAAAAATTACAAAACTCTTCTCTCGCATAATTTTAAGAGAAAGAAAAGGAGTTTTAATGATTTCATTATTCGTACCTCTCAAGGACAATAGCGAAGGGGGCGATGACTGCAGTAGCAAAAGCATGTCTATAGACAACTAGGACGTAGTGACTCATTCCTCTGTTGAGGGACACTTTGGTTATGATATTCATTCCCGCATAGCCAAATTGCAGAGAAATCATGGCTATGTATGGCTTAGCTCTCTCGAAAAAATTGCTAAAACATCCTTTTCCCTCCATTTTTCTTCTAAGCTTAAGGACTATCGAAGAAAGGAGAGCTCGGGGGTGGATAAGGAGAGTGATGAGGAAAAGAGAGGAAAACACTTGAAGATGCTTGTGTTTCTCCTAAGGATTAGACTTAGCAAGCACCCATATTTATAAGGCCCATGGAGGGCCTATATCCAAATAGTATCCCACAATTCTAGACATAACAAGCTTGTTTGGTAGACGTATTATGAAGGGATTAAATATTGAATTATACTATTTTTTATTTAATCGGGTCTAATACTTTGTTCGGTAAGCAAATTTGATACCGTATTAATTTTAAAAACGTATATTTATCGTATATTTTTTATACGATAGACCTGTATTATGGAGATTTTTTAATACCACCAAAAGATGTGGTATTATAATCCAACTCAAACGTATTATTCTATACATTTACTATTGTAACCCTCCAAGTGATAAATTCAAGTTGTTATTAATGTAACAAACATTGATTGAGGGTATTTTAGTTAATTCAACATTAATACGATGAAATAATTTTCTAACCAAACAACCGATTGGATTAAATAACTACTATCCAACGATTATATTGTGTTTTGTCTAACACTAGATAAAATTATATATTATTCTAATAATATATTTAATCTTGTCTTTAATCCATCTGTATTGTATTAGACTGTATTATTTTATCTAATCTATCTATTTTTAATATGGTAACCAACCAGTCCAATTTGTGTTGGATTTAGAGTTAGCCAAGGGACAATTGGATAGATATGTCAGACCCGTTAACTAAATGGTTCGAGACAAGTCCAACAAAATAAAACACAAATTTGACTAAAGACTAATTATACTTGAAAAAATGTTATTTGTACCTAATTTAATGACCTTATGTGATAACATAATGGATTATAGTCATTAAAATAATAGTGAGTCCCAAATAATAATGGGATCCACACCAATTTAATATCAAAAAATAATAAGATCGCCAAACAGGCTCAGTAAACAAAGTTCACGTAACATTATTCTTATACTTTACAAGAATTGAAGACTAAACAATTATTTTTAGTGAGACATAAGTATAACAAGTTTTGATACGATACACCTTACACAATTTTAAAATACAATANTTCACGTAACATTATTCTTATACTTTACAAGAATTGAAGACTAAACAATTTTTTTTAGTGAGACATAAGTATAACAAGTTTTGATACGATACACCTTACACAATTTTAAAATACAATTTGATTCAATTGATTTTGTCAAGCTATTGATGAGTTTGAAGCGTCACCTGGCTAGTGCACTAAGCCCATATCAAATTGAATATTCTGATTAACTATGTATACATACATTAACAGGTGATGTGTATTCCACCTGGTGTCACTTGGAATTGAATTATATTGGGTGGGTTCCACTTGTTTTTCTCCTTAGTGGGTAGTGATTTGAGAGCAACCAAAACAAAGGCGAGATTAGTGCAATGCTGATGCCAATCATGAAGGTTGGGGTGGGTTGTGGGGCCCACAAAAAAGTGTGGGACCCGCCCGTCGTCAGGCCTCACTGCGGCATGTCGACTCGTCCAGTCCACCGGACTCGAAATAGTACCTCAGCAAATGTCCATCCAACAACACATTAAGGCTTTGTGAATATTGTGGTGCAAACGTCATATGCTCCCAGTTAGCCTTGTCAAGTAATTAGCCCCACTTAAGAGATTAAAGGTATTTCGATCGGTTTGTATGTATTTCGATTAATTTTCTCTTTTGTTCGGTTAAAGACAGATCATTTATGTCGAAATTAGAGAATTTATAAAAGATAAATATCTCATGACTCAATGCAAATTGATAATTATAAAACTTTAGAAATGTTGATGATGCACGAAAGAGCACACATATTCTTTGTTTTTAGTTAGCTGAATCTGTTCAGTTTATATGATTCCCTTCTTTTGGCAGTTCAAAGAGCACACACGAAGTGGTTTGTAGGATTGTGTCACTCAATGGAACATTGTCCACTTTATAAAGTAGGAACTTTACAGTTTCTTATTTACAGAATATAAGTTGGGATGAGAATTATGTTTCTCATCCTTGTTATACACTTTTCCATGCATCTTACATTTAAGGTATAACTCAACGGAGATACGAACGAGATGTAAATTAACACATTGATTTTTAAAATTGACGACTTGTTTTGAGTCAGGTCATGAAAGATTTATTCTTTGAATTTCTTTATCCCGAAGTGGATGATTTGTTTTTGATCAAATCAGGACGAGGATTAATTGAAGTGCACGTGGAGCTTATTGCACTTGCGATGTGAAACGTCGTGGCAACTTGTATGGTAGTGATTGCAAAGGAATTTCAACATGTATAGATTCGCAAAATGACGTTCTTGTATATAAGAAAACTTATTTGCCAACACAGATATCAAGTATGCAACAAATTGAATCCTACTGCAACCATATCTTGCGTTTGGTCACTTCATCCGTAAGTTGGAATCGAATTTTTTATACTTTGTAATAAACTGGAATAACAAAAACTGTTGAATGATGCTTACATGCCAACATAAATAGAAAACCCTAATAATCTAATCTTACAATAAAAACAAAACAGAATACATAAAATTATAAAAATATCCTTGATTGCCACATAAAACCAAAAATAGTTAAAATTTTATTATTTGGCCTAAATATCTTTTCCGATTTTAAAAAACAACGGGGTTGAAGACAAAATTTTTAATCTTTGTCCAAATCGCATAACGTATTTATAAGAAGTTGAACTCTTTTTTTCTTTTAATTATTCGAGTGCGTATTTCTTGTTTCGCCCCGGATTATCTTGTAAGTTAATAAGTATGTGTGCCACAACCAAATACCCTAGTCCGCAGTGTGAAAATCTTACACAGGTAACAAAAGGAAGATGCATTGATTTGATGATCACTATAGGATAGATCACTAGCATTTGTCCTGCAGATTCTTTCAAGAACAACACAACACATGCAGCTACGGTGGTCTTCTTAAAAGCATGGTGTCGATAAGACTGGAAAAGAAAGAACCCACGGCAATCATAAGGCATGGCCAGCCTAAGAGGGTGACAAATCCATCAGTGAATTGCAGGGTCTAGATTTTGCTGAAAGAAAAGCAAAACAGTCTCACCGAAAGGACTCTTTAAGTCTCACATCAGGAGGAATATGATTGCCTGAATCATAACCATCTTTCGTTTCTGTTCATGTGGTAGCGCGTGCCGAAATTACAAAACGTAGTAATCGGATCAGGAAGGCAAAATTATACCTTCAGCTTTACCCACAAGGTAGCCAACAGCTTGCTATATTTGTTGCATTATTGCTTTGAAATGTACAGCATGAAAATCATACGAGACGTACAAGGGTTGCCTTGGTCCTCTAGTACCTATGAGCAATGTTATTGGGACACAAGCAATAATCCCGTAGCTAAAGTTTCTATGCAATACTGAAAATTGAGTTTGATTGTGTAACGCTTATATTTTTGTTTTTTTTTTTCATTAGTGGAGTTATATGACATTGGAGAGTTTGTTGGTTTATTTATTTAACATTCAAGACTGTGTAGAGAAGATGTTTTTGAGTGATTTTTTTTGAATGAATTTTGCAATATTAAATGATGACTGAATTAATATTAACCGTTATTGTGTTTTTATAAATTTTTAATTTAAATTGTTAGCTTTAATATTAAATAGATAATTTTAGAACTTAATTTTAGAATCTAATGTNCGCCCGTCGTCAGGCCTCACTGCGGCATGTCGACTCGTCCAGTCCACCGGACTCGAAATAGTACCTCAGCAAATGTCCATCCAACAACACATTAAGGCTTTGTGAATATTGTGGTGCAAACGTCATATGCTCCCAGTTAGCCTTGTCAAGTAATTAGCCCCACTTAAGAGATTAAAGGTATTTCGATCGGTTTGTATGTATTTCGATTAATTTTCTCTTTTGTTCGGTTAAAGACAGATCATTTATGTCGAAATTAGAGAATTTATAAAAGATAAATATCTCATGACTCAATGCAAATTGATAATTATAAAACTTTAGAAATGTTGATGATGCACGAAAGAGCACACATATTCTTTGTTTTTAGTTAGCTGAATCTGTTCAGTTTATATGATTCCCTTCTTTTGGCAGTTCAAAGAGCACACACGAAGTGGTTTGTAGGATTGTGTCACTCAATGGAACATTGTCCACTTTATAAAGTAGGAACTTTACAGTTTCTTATTTACAGAATATAAGTTGGGATGAGAATTATGTTTCTCATCCTTGTTATACACTTTTCCATGCATCTTACATTTAAGGTATAACTCAACGGAGATACGAACGAGATGTAAATTAACACATTGATTTTTAAAATTGACGACTTGTTTTGAGTCAGGTCATGAAAGATTTATTCTTTGAATTTCTTTATCCCGAAGTGGATGATTTGTTTTTGATCAAATCAGGACGAGGATTAATTGAAGTGCACGTGGAGCTTATTGCACTTGCGATGTGAAACGTCGTGGCAACTTGTATGATAGTGATTGCAAAGGAATTTCAACATGTATAGATTCGCAAAATGACGTTCTTGTATATAAGAAAACTTATTTGCCAACACAGATATCAAGTATGCAACAAATTGAATCCTACTGCAACCATATCTTGCGTTTGGTCACTTCATCCGTAAGTTGGAATCGAATTTTTTATACTTTGTAATAAACTGGAATAACAAAAACTGTTGAATGATGCTTACATGCCAACATAAATAGAAAACCCTAATAATCTAATCTTACAATAAAAACAAAACAGAATACATAAAATTATAAAAATATCCTTGATTGCCACATAAAACCAAAAATAGTTAAAATTTTATTATTTGGCCTAAATATCTTTTCCGATTTTAAAAAACAACGGGGTTGAAGACAAAATTTTTAATCTTTGTCCAAATCGCATAACGTATTTATAAGAAGTTGAACTCTTTTTTTCTTTTAATTATTCGAGTGCGTATTTCTTGTTTCGCCCCGGATTATCTT